ACAGCGATCCAACGTGAGAGCTACAACGCAGCTGGGTGGTGGTGCACTGCGCGCATCACACTGGGGCGGCTGGGGAAGCAGCCACTGCAAAGTGTGAGAGGAGAGCGTGCCTTGCGGACCTCTTGGAAAGTTGTTGGGTGCTTCAAGCAGGCGGGAAGCGTTGCGCTCCATGGCTCGTACCCTCGGCCTCGGCCTTTGCAAGAGGGGTTGGGGGGGCTCATTCACGATGCTCGACTGCGACAAGCACTAGTTCGATTCGCACCTGGCAAGAGTACCTTTTCCATTTGCGCACATCTTGGTTAGCAGAACTCTATTCTGTTTGATGCGCAAAAGGGACCGAATAGTCCCCACGGCGAGGCTCGGGGCATAGGCTATCCGTTCTCTGCAGGCTTTGGCGCCACACACCACACCATGCAAGCTCTACGAGGATCCAAATGTCACATTCCATTCATCGTCTAGATTTTCATGCAGGGGTGAGTGTCAAAGTGTGGCGACCTTGATCGAAGTCCGAGGTGGATTCTTGGCGCAGTGTGATAAGATGCAGATCCTATCCTGCAATTCGCGTGGCTGCCCCTTTACATTTTGCCAGAGACGTTTGCGACATTGGTCTTAGGCCACTCGTATCCATCACTGCCACGAAGAAGATAGGGAACCACACGAGGATTCAGCGTTTGACTAGTCGCCCAGCACTGCGAGGCTAGTGACCGCCAACGTTCACACTGCACAACTCACGATCGTCTGTAGCCGTACTTTGCCAAGAATTCGTTGAGCTCGGAGGGACCCCGGCTTCCATAAGGGTACGAGCTGACTTGCACCTTGCCGGCGTCAATCGCATGCAAAATAGGAGTAAAGATCTTCCATGACGCGTCCAACTCGTCGTCTCGAACGAAGTTGCTGTGATCGCCGTTAAGCGCGTCGAGGATGAGCGCTTCATATGCTTCTGGAATGCGGATGTTCTGCGAGGCGTGCAATGCACGGGTATGATCAGCTTTGGTGCCACTCGAAACTTGGGTGCTACACCTCAGTCTGCCAAGCTCTCACCTCAAAGCGCTGCTTGTACGTGAGGTCCAGATCCGCGGGCAAAGAGCTTGAAAAGGAGCCCTCCAGACCAGGTGTCTTTGCGTTGATCTTGTAGTACACTGCCTCATTGGGCTGCACTCTGAGTACGAGCTCGTTGCGAGCGGCACCCTTCAATGGGCCCTCTGCATCCTTGTACTGCACTCGGATGGACACCTGGCCCTCGTCAAGTGCTGCAAGAGTAGAGCCGAGCATCCTGCGTTAGTCGCCTTCGATGCGCATACATCTCCCCACTAAGTGTTGCTCACCCTTGCCTGCCTTCAGGACAAAAGGCACACCCTTCCAGCGCTCGTTGTTAACCCAGAGGACAAGCGCAGCAAAGGTGGGGCAGTTGCTGTCCTTTGGCACAGTGTCATCATCCTTGTAGCCGGGCTTTCCATTGGCAGCCGAGTACTGGCCAATCAGCACATCCTTCGCATCAATAGGAGGCACAGACTCCAGAACTTTGACCTTTTGGTCTCGGATATCTTCAGCGCCCAATGACTTGGGCGCATCCATGGCCAGCAATGACAAGACCTGTGTCAAGTCTGGTCAAGCAGGCAAGAGGTAAGCCTGCATGAGCATTCTGCCAATGGCCCTGTGCACAATTGCCGGGAAATGTAGCCACTCACGGTTTTGCTGAATGTCACGAATGATTCCAAACTCGTCAAAGTAGCCTCCTCTACCTTCAGTACCAAAAGGCTCCTTGAATGTGATTTGGACATTGTCGACAAATTTGTTGTTCAGACCCACATCCACCACTGGATTTCCGAAGCGCATGACCAGCAAATTCTTGACCATCTCCTTGCCAAGGTAGTGGTCAATGCCTTCGTTGCAGCCGTGATGAAGACGATCAGCACCGGCACCCGCCGCAAGCTTCTGCAAAACGAGCATGTGGTGCAAAAATGGCACCACTGCGACTCGCTTCCATCACGGATGATCACTCACGGAAAGTCTCTTCCTCTTTCCACAAATCTTTCAGCTTGCCCATCATCTCGCGACTGCTCTCCAAATCCTTGCCAAACGGCTTCTCAATGACAATCCTGTTGTTTCCCTGTTCGACGTAGCAGTTCTTCTTCAATCCAGCAGCGACGACAGTAAAGACGTTGGGAGGCAAAGCCATGTAGAACAATCTGTTTGTGCTCTTTCCCTTGTTGTTCTTCTCGATCTTTTCCAATTCAGAATTGAGATTCGCAAAGGCCTTGTCGTCATCGTAAGCACCCGGAATGTAGCTGGACAAGGACAAAAACTTCTTTTTTGCCTCTGCGCCTTCGCCCGAGTCGGCATCTTTAAAGTATCCGCTGGCCTTTTGGTGGAACTCGTCATTGCTCATCTTTGTGCGTGCATAGCCCACAATCGTCGTGTTCTTTGGCAACAAGCCTAGACGGAACAGATTGAACAGAGCGGGAAAGGTCTGCAGAGAGGTGAGGCGACCATGGTAAGTAAGTCAGTCTGCTGCTGCTGTGCAAGCACTCAAAGATAGCAGCCGGGTGGCACACCGTACACACTCACCTTCTTCTTGGCCAGATCGCCGGATGCACCAAGGACTGCGAGCAGTTGTAAATGAGCGCATACATTAGTGTCAACTTCATCATTTCTGGTCCACCACGCCTCACGAGGCCATCTTCCATCTCGCAGCCTTCATTCTTCATCCTTGCGCTTTGCAGCCCAGCTCATCTTTACAGCAGCCCGATCAATCGAAAGACTCACCGACAATGACAGTGTCCTCGGTGAGCTGGCTAGCCGAAGACGACATCTTGACTGCGAGTACTGGTGAACGATGAGCAGCGGTTCTAAAAGTGGGATGCGTTGGCCTGCGATACTTCTGTGATGATCGTGAGCGAGGAACCGATTCACGATGATCGATATACAGTCGATTGTATGAATCGAGGACAGTGGAGAGATGTTTGTATGCGCTGGCTGACACTCGGTCGAGATTGTGATTGCTGGAATCACAGGTGCATCGGATGCGCTCTGCCATCGACCAGCTTGCGGACAAGAGAGTTTGCTAGACGTCATGCGGTAATCAGCGGCTACACCGCCTGGATGCTGTTGCATCAGCAGACCAGCAGGCAGAAGTGCGCGTACGTTCGATTTTGCTGGGGCGGCAGTCATCAGTCAGTCGATCATGCTCGCTCTCCCCCTCTGCTGCTGCTGGACGAGGGAGGATGTGCACATGCGCGCGTGTCGCGGCTGCCGCTGGCCCGCGCGCGCATCCACGCGCGGTCCAGCTGCTGCTGAGCGCAGCCTCGCACTGCACGCGCGCAGCGTGTGGAGGTTTGGGTAGACATCTGCAGCGAGCTGTGCGCCGTCAGCAGCATGCACAGGTGCTCGCTTTCTCGCTTGCTTGCCACGCTTGCTTGCGGCTGATGATGCCGATGAGATCGATGAGGGAGACCCTCCCTCCAATCTGAGTGGCTC